AAGCCAAATTACCCCTCAAGTCATGGGGATTCCTCAGGACGTATGAAACTAGGACTGAGATAATGATCAACTAGATCCCAGCCTGACATAGGAGAGATATAACTCCCAACCTGCTAGATGTCAAATGTGCCAAGTTCATGTCCCCCAGATATTGAAGAAAGAATTCCAAGGGACAATGGAGATTAAGAGTAGGAAAGGTTTACTGATAGCTCCTGAGAGACAGGAGGGGTCTCAAAAGTAGATTGCCACTGAGACCCCTTGTCAGGGGTAATTTATACAGCAAAGTCACAATACAGGTACAGCGTGGGTCAAACTACAATCAAATCTATAGGATTTTAGATATAACCACTTAGCTAATATTGATGCAATAGGGAAATGAGTCACATAGCCAGGCTACATGGAAAGAACAAAGACATTTTGGGAAGGCATGAGTCCAGATGCTCTGGCCACCCACCTGGGTGACTGATGCCTGTCTAGACTTACTGGACCAAATGGTGCTAATTACAGTACAATTTCTAGTTATTATTTATCCCTTAGACAGGCATGTATGCCTGGCCATTGCATATCTTTCTTGAGGTCTGGCCTTCTTCAAATGTGCCTCCAGCCAAAATTCTCGTGTCTTTATTTTTGTGCTGACTTCCTTGACAGCCCAGTCCCTCTCTGATTATATATTAATTTTGATATAACTTAGCTACCTATATTAAGCCCATTAAAAGCACCCCATAACACCTGTCCCTTTGCTTCATTAGTGGGCCAATCTGATGCTCTTTATCAGACTGTGCCTGCCCCCTGTCCTTTTTCTATCCTTATTTTCCAATTAAAGCTTTTACCTATAAATTCACATTGTTGCTTTAGTTTTAATTTCCATTATCACTAAAGCAAGGACTCATGCTAGTTGGTAACATCAGCTTCCCTTTCAAGCCATTTAGCAGCATAGGAAACATGGGAAATGGAGCTTGGTGAGGTCAAGGGGTTAATGGAAGGGCACTATGACTGCTTGCATCAGTGAAACTGGTACAGGGATGATATAGAAGATGAAATAGGACCTCTAAATGATATAAGAGAAATATAATTTTAACATGTTAGCTGTCTGATACTCTAAGTTTGTGTTCTCTAAAATCGAAGAATGAATTCTAGGAACAATGGAGGTTAAGAGTAGGAAATGTTTATTGAGAGGATAGCTCTTGAAAGGCAGGAGGGGGTCCCGAATGGGTAGCCGAGGACCCCATTTTTCAGAGGAAGTTTTATAGAGCAAAACCCATGTTGGTGCAATGTTGGTTAAAGCTATGAACAACCAATAAGGTTACAAGTAAAATTGCTTAGGTAACAGTGATCCAATGGAGAAACAGTTCACATAACAAGAGTGCATGGAAAGAATAAAGACTTTTTCTAGAAAATGATAAGTCCAGAGGTCACCCACCAGGGTGATGGCTGTCTGTCTAGACTTCGTTAGGCCCAGTGTTTGTCGTTTGAGGAAGTATGCAGGCCTGGTCATTTCCTCTTTATCTTGAGGTCCAGTCTCCATTACATGTGTCTCTGGCCACAGTTGTGATGTGTTTGTCTTGACTCTCTTGAGGACCAAGGCCTATCTGACTGCCTGTAATATTGTTATCTAACTTAGCTGTCTGTAATGATCTCTTGCAATCTTTTATTTTGATTAAAGCCTCTGGAGAAAATCTGGCTTCTTACATATCTACAGTTAGAAAATGAAGGGGCATTTTAATACCCTTTTCAGATAATTGTGGCTATTTTTTATTTTATAAAAACCCCAAATTTATAATAAAATAATAAGAGAATAATAACAGTTAATACACTGTGTATCATTATCGTCAAGTTAGTTACTCAGAGTACAAGACATAAACCAAAAAGATGCTTACAAAAAAGAAACATGATAACACAAAACTTTCTTTACTATAAGGACAGGTGGCACTGTAGGTAGGGAAAAGACAGGATAAAGGCCTTATTGAACTTTACTAAGATCAATAGAGAAACTTACTAAAAGCAATTTCTGCCCTCACGGGTAAACTCTGCAGTTAGGGTAATTAGAAAGACAAAGGAGGGAAGAGCTAGCTAGACTTGGGAGAGGCACCAAGCAAAAGTTATCAGGAAAGCCAGCTCCCCCTGCCACCTGACAAAATTCAAGGGCAGTAAAAGTCAGCCACCTAAGGACTCATTTAATATATAAGACATGCACATGCACGCACGCGTGCACACACACACACACCTATGCATATACACATGTATGTTCTCACTTTAACATCAGTATAATATTGCACCAGATACACACATGTACACATGTCCCCTTTATTTAATAATTAAATAAGCTGCCTTCCCCTTCATTTATTCATTACGAAGCAGCAAAAAGAAAACAAATGGCCTCGGTTAGGATCCAAAGCAGTCAAGGAAACAGATCAGATATGGACAAGTGCCCACCTGGGGGATGGGAAATACACTAGTCCCCAATAAAAGGAGCCAGGGATAAGAACACATGGGCTTTCAGCTCTGAAGCCTCCTGCTACCTCATGGTGCCTGTCTATTCTCTTTCTTTTCCATTTCCATCTTTTTTCCCCAAATAAGCCATCATTTGTTATGCTAGACTTTCCCTTTTTTTAGTTTTTTATTGGTACTGGGTTTAGGATCATGGAAAGCTGCATTTTCAGCAGAGCAGTGGCATGGCATGGCATGACTTGGTGAGCTGTCCACCTCGGGATGTAACAATATGCTTGCTCTTTGCTGATGCCAAAATCTGAGGATATTTAAGTACCTTATATAAAATGAATATTTGCATATAATCTCAAGTATTGGGGCTGACTCTCACAAAAGCCTAGAGGAGGGTGTTATTATTAGAGACAGCTAAATTCGGTAGAAATAGTATAGGCAGTCAGACAGGGCTAGGCCCGGGGAAGTCAATACAGAGCATTAAAACATTACAACTGTGGCTGGAGGTGCATCTGTTAGAGGCCAGGCCTCAAGATAAAGACAAAATGACCAGGCCTGTATACCTCCCTCAGAGATAAACAGTAAATTAACATTAACATCAGTCACCCTGGTGGGTGACCACGATCCCCTGATTCATCCCTTTCTAAAAAGGTCCTTGTTCTTTACAGGTACAGTGAACCCTCAATTTACGACCAGCCTCATATGAACAACTTGGATTAGAACCAGAATTTTATTTTTAATTTATGACCAAATTCTTCAGTTACAACCCGAATGCTGGCTACTTGTTCGGTTGTAAACAAAGACTTGCAATGCCAGAGAAGCATATGTAAGCATACGTAAGTGTCAGTCTGAGCCCAGACACACGTGTTCGTGGATGTGATTTTGGTCAGTGTTTTATATAATCACTATGATTACTGCTAACAAAATGGCCCCCAAAAAGCTAGAAAAGAAACTAGGAAAGGAAGGGAAGGTAAAGAAAGCAATCACAATCGAAATGAAGAAGGAAATTGTGGAGAAATATGAGAGTGGTGTTCGTGTGACTGATCTTGCTAATATGTACAGCATGTCGAAATCCACCATCTCCACAATCTTACAGAGAAAAGATTTGTATAAGAAAGCTAGTGTTGCTAAAGGTGTTACTCAAATTAGTAAGTCACGATCAACAGTGTTAGATGAGGTAGAAAGGCTATTATTAGTATGGATAAATGAAAGGCAAATGGCAGGTTATAGCCTGTCTGAGTCTATAATTTGTGAGAAAGCTAGGGCTATAAATGCAGGTCTCATAAAGGATAATCCATCAATGAGTGATAATGCTGAAACATTTTGTGCCAGTAAGGGGTGGTTTCACAATTTTAAAGCAAGGACTGGGACTCATAGCGTAACCAAGCATGGTGAAGCAGCCAGTGCTGATAAAAGGGCTGCTGAAAATTACATACACTACTTTGAAATGATGACACAGAGAAATGGCTTTTGCTCTCATCAAGTTTTCAATTGTGATGAAACTGGCCTTTTCTGGAAGAAAATGCCCAGGAGAACATACATTACCCAGGAAGAGAAGAAAATGCCAGGCCACAAGCCTATGAAGGATAGGCTAACCATACTGCTATGTGCCAATGCGAGTGGTGACCTCAAGATAAAGCCTCTCTTAGTTTATCACTCTGAGACCCCTATAGTGTTCAGAAAACATAAAGTCATGAAGAATAGGTTAGGGGTCATGTGGAGATCTAATGTAAAAGCCTGGGTAACAACAGTACTTTTTCTTGAGTGGATCAGGGAGGCTTTTTGTCCTACTGTTAAGAAATATTTAGAGGACAGAGGTTTACCACTCAAGGCTCTCCTCATCATGGACAGTGCTCCTGCTCACCCACGAGATTTGGAAGAAGAATTGGCTGAAGAATTCCCATGGCTCTCAGTGGAGGTCCTCCCACCTAATACAACTTCTCTACTGCAGCCTATGGACCAGCAGATTACAGTTAACTTTAAGAAGCTATACACCAAGGAGCTGTTCCTGAAGTGCTTTCAGATGGTCTCAGATACAGATTTAACCCTTACAGAGTTCTGGAAGGAACATTACAACATCCTTTCCTGTGTGGGGTTAATTGAGAAATCATGGGCCAATGTCTCTCTAAGAACACTGAGATCTGCCTGGAAGAAAGTGTGGCCTAGAATTGTACAGGAGAGAGACTTAGAAGGCTGTGTAGAGGAGCCTGAGCCTTCAGTTGACCCTGTGGTTGATGACATTGTCGCTATAGCAGAATCCATAGGTTTGCAGATAGACAGTAGTGATGTTGAGGAACTAATGGAGGAACATTCAGAGGAACTGTCTACAGAGGAACTTCAGCAACTTTTGGTTGAGAAACAGAGAATGGCAGCTGAGGAGCTTTTTGAAGAGGAAGGGGAGTATCAACAATCAGTGCAGCAAAGTTCTTCTGAAATAAAGGAAATCCTGAAAAAATGGACAGAGCTACAAACATTTGTAGAGAAGACCCACCCAGACAGAGAAAAAGCCAATTGTTGCATTCACTTGCTTAATGACAATGTCATGTCATACTATAGAGCAGTGTTAAAGAAGAGACAGAAACAGACAACCTTAGACCAATTTTTAGTTCTGAAAAGGTTGAGACTCAGTAAGCCAGAAGCAGGTCCTACTGGGCTACAGACTCTCCCAAGGAGAGAAAGGAGACCAGAGAGCCAGGTTTCTGATGTTATGGAAGGGGACTCTCCTTCCAAACAGTAACCACCTTCCATTTCATCCTCCCTGCAAGCCAAAGATATCAACTTGAATGGTGAGTATAGCATGAAATTATGCTTTCTGGTAAACTAGGCATATTTTATAACTTTTTGGTGAATACACTAGGAAAGTTATGGTGTTTCTAGTAAAGTATGTACATTTTACAACCCTTTTTTCATTAAGTTTATTGGTACATTTTAGGTATACAATATGATGACGTTCATCATTGAGAACTTGTACCTTTACATGACATATCTTGGTTCTTATTTTTTCCCCATTCCCCTACCCTCTCCCTTCTACCCCTATACCCCTTCCTATTTATAGAGACTTTGTTTCCGTTTTTTCCTTTTCTCATATTTTTTCTTTTCCCTTCTTTCCTTTCCCCTACCTCTTCCACTTCCCCTTCCCCTTTAGACCTTTTCTTCCTGTTTGACATTATCAGTTATACATTTTGATCCTTATTTACACTCTCAGTTTCTCACACCAGAGAAACTATTCGGTATTTACACGTGTGTCCTATTTATTTCACTTAAGAGTATGGCTTCAATGTGCATCCATTTAGCTATAAATGACTCTAGTTTCTCATTCTTTATGGCTGAGTAGTACTCCATTTTATAAACAAACCACATCTTTTTTATCCAGTCTCCAGTTGATGGGCAATTGGGCTGTCTCCAAGTTTTAGCTATTACAAACTGTGCTGCTATGAACATGGGTGCACATATATCTCTGTGGTATGATTCTTTTAATTCTTTTGGGAAGATACCCAGCAGGGGAATAGCTGAGTCAAATGGAACCTCTAATCCTAGATTTCTGAGGTTTCTCCTTATTGATTTCCACAGTGGTTGCACCAGTCTGCTCTCCCACCAACAATGGAGAAGGGTTCCTTTCTCCCAACAATCCTGCCAGTATTCGTTATTGGTTGATTTCTTGATAGCAGCCATTCTTTCTGGGGTGAGGTAGAATCTCAGTGTTGTTTTCATCTACATCTCTCGAATGACCAGTGATGTTGAACATTTTTTCATATGTTTATTTGCTGCTTTTACTTCTTTGTCTGAGAAAAGTCTGTTCATTTCAGATGGCTTCAGTCTTTAAATTTGGGGTGGGGGGATCTTATTTTTTTAAATTCTTTATATATTTTAGATAGTAGTCCTTTGTCTGAGGAACAGCTGGTAAAAATGTTTTCCCTCATTGTAGGTTGTCTCTTAGCTATGCAACCCTTTTTCATTATGAAAAGGTTAGTTAATGGGTGCTTTGGGAGATTTGGAATGCATTATGGGTAATTTCCATTATTTCTTATGGGAAAAATAGTCTTGACTTACAACCAACTTGAGTTACAACCAACCCTTGTGGATGAATTGAGTTTGTAAGTCAAGGGTCCACTGTACGTGACCTGCTTTCCCATTGGATTAATATTACCTAAGCGGCTAAACTTGTAATCTTATTGGTTGGTCATAGTTTTGTCCTGTGTGTACCCACCTCGTAATTTTGCATCTATCTTGTGATTTTGCTCTGTAAAGTTTCCTCTGTAAAGTGGGGTCCATGGCAACCCATTTTCTGGGTCCCCTCCTGTCTCTCAGGAGCCCTCTCTCTCTCCATCAATAAATATTTTTTATTCTTAACCTCTATTCTCTAGGATTCATTCTTCAGTTTTGGAGAAAATGAACTTGAAGTGTCGGACTTCTATGAGGTTGGGAATTACATGTATTTCCTCTATATTATGTCACAGGCCTCAAGGAAAATTAACTACTTAAGCTAAAACGACCCTAGAATTTCCTGAAAGTCTCTGATTAACACATTTGTTGACATTTCCCCACCCTTTTCTAGTTGTTATAGACACATGAATGACTCCTTCCCAAGCCAATTGGGAAGCTGCCTATGAGTCCTAAATTTAGCAGCTGTACTGTTTTTAAGACCTCTGCCTTTTCAGTCATCTGCCTGCTTCCTTATCAACACGGTAGGCTTCCATTAATTCAAACAAAACCTTTAAAACAATGCCCGTGGGTTTAAAATGCCAGAATGTAGAGAGAAGAGTGGTGTGGCTGTAATCTAAGACAGGGTATACTTTAACATATTTGAAACCATTTTTTAAAAACTGTGGAGTGATCTTACATAAGAGATCATTGTATAGTTGTTTTCCAAAAGAAAAGAAACGGGGCTGGGGATTTAGCTCACTGGTTCCGGCACCTGCCTCACAAGCACAAGGTCCCAGGTTCGATCCCTGGCACCAAAAAAAAAAAAAGAAAAAAACCTGTAGATGAAAATATTTCATACCTATAAATGAAAAAGCTAGAAGATACTCAGGATTTTTTTCTTTTCTTTGGTACCAGGGATTGAACTCAGGACCTTGTTTGTGCTTGCAAGTGTGGTGCCACTGAGCTAAATCCCTGGCCCTGGTTTTGGTTTTTTTTTTTGAGATAGGGTCTTGCTTATAGTTCAGGCCGGCCTTGAACTCAGTATGTAGCCCAGGCTGGCCTCGAACTCACAGCAGTCCTCCTGCCTTAGCCTCCTGGTTTGCTGGGATTACAGGCATGTGACACCATGTATTCACTTACAACCAATTTGAGTTACAACCAGCCCTGAGGAACTGATCGAGTTTGTAAATCAAGGGTCCACTGTGCAAGTATAGCTGCTTAGTGAGTATTGATCCAATAGGGAAGTGAGTCACAAAGCAAGGGAATGTGGAAAGAACAAAGGCATTTTTGGAAAGGGATGGGGTTCAGATGCTTTAGTCACCTACCTGGGTGACTGATGCCTATCTGGACTTTACTGGACCAGGTGATACCAATCACAGTACAATCTTAAATTATTGCTTATCCCTCAGGGAGGCATGTAGGCCTGGTCATTGGATCTTTATCTTGAGGCCTGCCAGTGAGAGCAAGTGAGTGAGAGACTCCCTTCAAGAGTATCACTGGTGACTCACCTCCATCACTTGGGCTCCACTTCCCAATAGCACATTCAGCTACAAACTCATCAATGGATTAATCCACTGATGAGTGAGATGCCCCCATGGTCCAATCACCTTCCAAAACCCCCACAAGACTTCTAGGGGACATTTTAGACCCCAGAAACTACAGGATCATTATCCTTACCTATTTTTAAATCCTGAGATCCCATGTATGGGTCACTTGGATTCAAATCCTGACCTTCATATTAGCTGTGTAACCTTGGAAAATTGCTTAGCCTCCCTGAGTGGTTTATATCGAGACTGTCCCCCAAAGGCCTCAGGCTTTTTTGGAAGAGGATTGGATCATGGAGGTTGCTATAGCTAACTTGCTGATAGGTGAGGCCTGATGGGAAGAGGCACATCACGGGGTGAGACCTGTATGGGTATATCTTTCTCCCTACCTCCTCCCTTCTCTCTTTGCTTACTGGTCACCATGACATGAGCAGCTTTCCTCTGCCAAGACCTTGCCAGTATACTGAATATGGACTAAAACTTCTGAAATGTGAGTCAAAATAAACCTGTCCTTCCTTAAGTTGTATCAGTGTCCAATGAGGAAGTGACTAAGACATTGAGTTTTAGCCTGCAGTGCTGCACCCTAGAAATATGTGATTCATGTAGGTAATTTTTTAGTAGCCACATTTCAAAAAAGAAAATAAAGAAAAAGGTGAAAATTAAGGTTACTGCAGTATTTATTTAAATTAGTATGTCCAAAACATTGCTTCAACATGCAATTGATACAAAATTATTGATTTTTTTATATACTAATACTTCAGTTCATGAATGCTTTTGATTGCAAACAATTTGGTTTCTGAACAGAAGTTAGTGTTCAGGAAAATTGTGCTTCCATTCGGGAACATTGCATTGTGTGACAAACATGACCGTGGCCATCTTCCCCAGAATCATGGAATGAATTAAGTTCATGGACCGAGGTACCACTGTATTTGAATACCATGTTCAGAGTCCATGTGTATTTTACACTTACAGCACAGCTAAATTAGAATTAAACATTACGAGTGTCACAGGTGGCCAGTGGTTGCCACTAGACAATACAGGTGAGTAGGATGGAGGTGATAATAGCAAGGTAAATGTTACTGTTGAATGAAATAAAACTCCCACCTTGAGAAAACAAATATATTTGTGTTTGGTCTCCCAAAACTTGGTAATCAAGAGAATATCTCTATCATCTTGATAATACATATCACATTAAAATATTATTTACCTTGGTTACTGAAAGGCTGGGGGGGGACTTTGCACTTTGTCCTATAAGACTCATCTCAACTAGTCCTGACTCTGGATAATAATAAAACCCACCTTGTTAGACTGTTGAGTGAATTAAATGAGAAAGTTCCTGGAGATCATTTTGCCTAGGTGAAAGCATTTAGGGCTAGTTTTTATTATCCCTCCCTAGTTATCAGACAATAGTATTAGGCTTTCTGTTGCATAGGGGAAATATGATTGCTTGAGTTTCTTTTTCTTTTTTTGTACCGGGGAGCAAACTCAGGACCTTGTGCTTGCAAGGCAGGCGAAGTACCACTGAGCTAAATCCCTGGCCCTAGTTTCAGTCTTAATCTATGATTGCTTTTTGTTTTCTGAGATCAAATAAAAGAAATACAAACCCAAGTAAACTGAAATTCTGTAGAAGAGTGGGGAAGGTACATACTGCTTCTGAGGCAGAGAAACTTTATCCAAGGGGCCTGGACCCCTGTGCTCCACCAAGGCCACCATAGCAGTCACTTCTGTGGTCCTGCCAATTCTTGCCAGATCGTCCCACTTCGCCCCTGCACTAGGCCAGTAGCCACCTAAATGCTTCTATTCTGATTCAGTCCATTGTGCCCATCATGAACTATCCATGTTTTAGACACTCAACAGACCTTACCCCATACTGGGCACATGATAAAAGCTGGCATAGAGACATAATTCCTGATGAGGGCCACAGGATTAGATGACTTCTAGCAGACCAAAAAATCAGCCTGCCCAAAAGGGCAGTGAAGATAGAGTTGCTATTTATAGGGGGTGTGGAATATAATGCACAGTTAGGTCGCTGATCAGATGTGGGGTAGGGTGCAGGGGCCCTTAAGAGGGCATCCTGGAGGAGATGACACCTACGCAGGATTTCATCTGCTCAAGAGGTGACCAGTGAGGAGGAGGGAGTATAACGTCTAGGGACCTAGGATTTCCGGTAGCACGACCCCCATTATTCGGGTTCTTGCCTTCACTCTGGCGAGGAAATGGGGGGGGGGGCGGTGACTTAAAGCCAAAGATCCCCCAGGTGCTGAACGAGGAACTCAGAAATAAAAGTAATGCAGGAGCATAGGTTTATTCACGAGAACGAAGGTGGAGAAAAAAGTTAAACTGCCACAAAGAGGGGAGAGCCTGACGGCTTCTCAACAAATTTTGCCCCGCCCATTCTTATAGGGATTCTAAGCCAATCAGGGTTTCAGCCTTTGTGTTGTGGGCTAAGGAACGTGGGTTTTTTAGGTTTCCAGGGTATGCAAGTGGGTCCTTAAAAATAACTGTTTTACACTTGCAAAGGTTTCACAAAGGGCAATTTTTCCCAGTAAGCAGGCGGTTATCTCGGACTGCCACATCAGCCATGTTTTGTGAGCCATTTCGGTTTATGTCCCTATCTCCTATCTGTCCCTGCAGCAGGAAACCATGTGAGCGGGGTCAGCTGCACCCACCAATCCCGGAGATAGTTCTGCAGACTCGTCAAGGCAGCGAGGGTCGCAGCTGGAAACCTCTCGGGGCTCGCAACGCCATCCCTCCCCACCTTCCCTCCCGCCGTCCACCAGCTCCCCAGCCTCGCGAAGAAGCCGCCCCGGGGCCCGCGCAGGTGACAAGTGTCTCGCGACCTGCTTTCTCTTCAGGGAAACCGGGACACTTCCCCCGCCCGCTCCCCATTTCCGGGTCCCCCACATCCCGCCTCCTCACTCCAGAGGGAAACAGCAGGAAGCGGCTCCCAGCCCCACCCTGGCGCCAGGCGCAGAGGCCGCCGGGAGAGCGGAGTCCGCCCGCCGAGCCACGCCTCCTCGCGGACGGGCGGGGAATGCAGATTAGCGGTGGCGTCCAACGGGAGGGACCCCGGGACCAAGAAGTTCGGGTGGAGTTGGTCCTGAAAACCGCGAAGAAGAAGAAATGGGCAGCGAAGGCTGATGAGGTCCGCCTGGGAGTGAATGAGGAGCGGGAGAGGGCAGAAAGACTAGGGGTCCGTATTGTGACCGCGCGTTGAATGTGAAGGCAGGGAGGGCGGCTAGGCTGCGGGTGGAGTAGTGGGTTGGTTTTTATCCCGTTTATTTGTCAAGTTAGTGTAGCCTTTGTTGTAAATTTAGTATGTAGGGGGTTTTTTTGTTGTTACTGTGGGGGCGGGGGCGTTGAGCTGTATTCTTTTCGCTCGTGAGGTAGGGGGTGTAACCACTGAGCTAAGTTTTTCGCTCCTAACTTGTTTTGTTTTTTTTTTTTCCTTTGGACCTGCAGGCTATGTATGAGGTGGGACTTTGTAGCTGAGAAGTTAAGTAGGAGCGTGTTTCGTCTGCTCTTTGTACTGAGTTGGTGTTGAAATAGTGTCAGGAACAGTATTTTTTTTGAGTCTGATTGTATTAAAAGAACTGTTTCGTGTTTTACTCTCAGGATGTGGGGTTAAGTTGGTGAACCGTTGTTTTGATTTGTAAGTGTTTAGTAGTATTTTGCTTGTGCAGTTTGTTAGGTTAACCCTGTTCCTGCTTTTGTTAAGGAATGGGTCTATTTTCCGCAGGTCTATGTTTTGGTTAGGAGGTTCATTGAAAAAGTTTTGGATAAAGTTACTGTTTCCTACGGAGGTTTTTTGGAAGGAAGCTCACACTTAATAGAGGTCTCTGCTGAGACTGCACTTATATTTGGGAGTAGGTGGGGTCAATCCGTTATAGATTAGGTTCATAAGTTTTTTTGTTTTTGGGTACCAGGCATTGAACTCCGGTCTTTTCGGTTGCCAGGCAGGAGGCGGGACCGCTGAGCTAAATCCCCGGCTCCAAGATTAATACATTTCTGTTAATCAGTATCACCCACATTAAATTGTGGTATCCACCACATTAAATTGAGAAAGGCCTTCCTGGAAGTACTGATATATGCTACGTGGGTCTTTCCTAGTGGAAATGAACATTAAAACACAAATATGCAGAAAATTACTTGGTTGGAACATAAAAGGATAAGAAAAGATTTTAAGGAGCTGAGAAGCTCCTTAGACAACGGAAGTAAGAGAAAATGAGGGAATGATCAGATGAGGTTCAAACCAGGTACCAGCTTGAGGTGATTTAGTTTCCAGGAAAGGATTGTTTATGGCAGTTTCAGTCATGTAAGGCTCTGTTTTTCCTGGGACTCACGTGGACGCAGGTGTGGGAAAATGGCTGGAAAGTTCAAAGCATTACCCTAGAGGGGTCTGCAACTGGACGCTGTCAAAAGATGTCCATATCCCCAAGAATCCTGAATATTACTTTAGTTATTTTGTTGTCCTTTGTCTTGAAGAGGATGAGATAGGCTAGGTAAATTTAGGGGTAATAAAAATAATTGACTTTTTCTAAATGATTAACCTATTAAAAGATACAGAATGGGGCCGGGGTTTTAGCTCAGTGGTTCTGCCACCTGCCTCACAAGCTCAAGGTCCAGAGGTCGATCCTTTGTACCAAAAAAAAAAAAAAAAAGATACAGAGTGAAGGTCAAACTTTGTTTTGCTTTTAGTTGCCTATGAGGGGGATCTGTAGGTTCAAATGAAGAGTTATGGGATTTAGCAAAAACTGCTTTAAAGTCCCTGACTGCTTCAGAAAGAAACCTAAATCATGGGGTTTAGTGGGGAGGAGGCATACTTGGAAATGAACCTAGGTTCTTCATGCTGAGCCTACATTCCCAGCAAGTTCTTGGTAAATCACTAAATTGACCAAGCTCGGATAGAACTTGTGATCCTCCTGCCTCAGGCTTCTGGACTGGTGGAATTACAGTATTTGGCACCACTGCCAAGTCATGTGTTTAATGAGTAACAGGTTAAAGACCCAGGAGTTTGTTCTTTGCCCCTATGTATCCCGGTGGTGGCCTCTTGACAGTGTCTTGTGACAAAAACATCATGCTTACTGGAAAGAAAGGTCATATATTGTGTCATCCAATTTACATGCAATATCTAGAACAGATTAAATCCAGAGTCAGAATGCTTATCCCCAAGAAAGGAAATGGGGAGCAACTGTTTTAATGCACATGGAGTTTCGTTTTGGGGTGAAGAAAACGTTTGGAGCAGGGAAGATGGTTGTGCACCACTGAGAATGCACTAAATGTATTTCATTTAAAAATGGTTAATTTTATGTTATGACAATTTCACTGTAATTAAATAAAATGAGGTAACACACAAACTTCCTTGGAAGCAAATTCATTATATTGAAAATAACCCACTTTTAGAGGAGCCTTCATTTTTTTTTTTTTTTTTTTTTTTTTTTGGTACCAGGAATCAAACTTGGGTCCTTACGCTTGCACAGCAGGCAGCGAAACCACTGAGCTAAATCTCCGGCCCTAAGCCTTAATTTTTGAGTAAATGGAAATTATTTTGTTGTTACCCTGTCCTCAAAGTAAACTTATATTGCATGTTGAGTCAGAACTACTTGTACTTATAATTGGGCACTTTATTCATGTAGTAGACACTCAATACATAGCAAAAGCATGTAAAACTGTAAGCAAGTCATTTAAACATGGGAGATAATTTGTGTTTGCAAGTAAGTAATATTGTCCTTTATTAAATTGGAGAATTGTGATTCATACATATTTAAAAATCTGTTGAAATAAAAAAGTTTTTTTTTTTTTTTTGGGTACTGGGGATCGAACTTGGGTGCTTGTGCTTGCGCAGCAAGCGGCGAAACCACTGAGCTAAATCCCCAGCCCTGTTGAAATAAAAATGATGTTCAGAGATTTCAGGGTCTCTAAGATGATTATTTATTTATTTGGAAAGGCACACTCCAAGCAAATATTTAGAATTACTTGATGAAAATTATTCATCTGTTATTAGTAAAATGTGATGACCTGCACATGAATATTTTGTTTTAATGTGTTTGGTGACAGAAACAGAATAACACTGCAAGTTTATTTTTCAAGCTAAACATTAAATTGAGTTGAGTTATATTTAAACAAATTACTCCATCAGTATTACCCAGCATAGTGAGCTCCAAAAATTTATTTTTAATTTTTTTTTTGAGACAGGATCTCGCTGTGTAGTGCAGACTAGCCTTGAACTCAGTTTGTAGCCCAGGCTGGCCTGGAACTCACAGTAATCCTCCTGCCTCAGCCTCTCAAGTGCTAGGATTACAGGTGTGTGGCACCACTCTCGGCACCATCAGTGACTTTTATTTTTTATGTATTTTTTCGTTTATTTATGCATTTATTCACCATTCAGCCAACTAAAACTTTCCCAGTTTTTTCATACTCATTTCTGTGCTTACAGTGAGTTTGCAGTCTAGTAAGAGGAAGATGGTAACTAGTTACAAGACCTTTGTGGAGGGTGGAGAAGGGGAGAAGTTCTTTTTTTATTCATAAATTTTATTTTATCCCATTCCCTCCTAAGCCTCTCTCCTCCCTATGTACAAAAGCATTGTTTCCATTTTTTCCTTCTCTTTTCTATTTAGGTCCTGCAAACAAGTAGCACAGAAGAGAAATTAAAAGACAAACTGAAGCTCTAGTTAAATCTTTGCAGGCAGGACCTAGAATCCCAGGAAGGCCCGGCCTGGACAGGCTGGTGTTCCATGATTAACCACAAGAGGGAATTTGTTGAATCACATCAGTATGTTAGGAATGCATGAGGCCCATAGTGATTGTATGGTTACAGGATGTAGTCATGTAGCAGTGTGAAAATGTGCCCTTTAGGCCCCCTACCAATGTGGAACATATTTGATGTCAATCAGCCCAGCTGTTATCTCTCAGGGATCCCCTTGTGTCTTCCCTCCTGGGCGGGTCCCAGCCAGTGCCTGGTCACAGCCAAGCTGTTCATCCAGGTCCTGTCTCCATAGGTGGAGTTGTTACAATGGTTGACTCCTGGTTGCATGCTTCCCATCACCCAGGTTCATCCTTTTTTGGACTGTGGTGCTCTTATAGCCAGCTAAGTTAAACAGGAATTAATATACAGTGAGAGAGGAACTGGGCCCTCAAGGAAGTCAGCATAACAAATAAAAACAGAATTGTGGCGAGAGGCAGATACAAAGAGAGCTAAGGGTCAGGATGGAAAACCAATAACCAGAGCTGCATACCTTCCTAGAGATAAGTAACAATTTGAGATTATACTTTAATTAGCACCACCTGGTCCAGTGGGGCCAGATACATAGATGGGTGACCAGAACATCCAGACCTATCTTCCCCACCCTTCCCAAAAATGCCTTTGTTCTTTCCATGCACTCTTGCTAAGCGATTTGTTTCCCTATTGGATCAATATTAGCAAAGTGGTTATACTTGTAATCCTATAGATTGATTGTAATTGGAGCCATGTTGTACCCACATTGTGACTTTGCTGGGTAAATTACTCCTGACAAAGGGTATTGGTGGCCATCCCAGTTGGGACCCCTCCTGGAAATCCAGGAGCTATTCTTCTTCCCCTTATTTTCAATAAAACTCTCCTAACTTCTTCCTTTGGTTCACAACTTCATCCTTCCATGTTGTGGGACCACATACTCAGCCCATTTGACATCTAACAAGTTGGGAGTTATATTTCTCCTATATCACTGCCATCAGAGATTTTGCCTACTCAATCCTCCTTCCTTGACTTTCTACTTCACAGTTGTCAGAACTTTTTAAAAATTTTACTTTTATTAGTAAATGTTTGTAGTACATAATGATCATATTCATTATGGAGAGATGGTACATGTATATGACACATCTTAATTCTTTTTATGTTCCTTTTTCTTCCCCTTTGCCTTTTCCCTTTACATTTCTTGCTCCTCTACACGTTTGCAAAAGACCTACCTCCTTGTTTCCTATTATCTATTTTATTTTTCTCTTTAATTTATTTATATGAGAAATGATGTGATAGTTAAGCTTGGTGTGGATTTATTTTATTTGGGGGGGGGGTTCTGGGGATCAGACTTGGGTCCTTGTGCTTGTGCAGCAGGCAGCAAAACCGCTGAGCTAAATCCCCGGCCCTGGATTTATTTTACTTAACATTATGATCTCAAGGTGCATCCATTTTCCTACTAATGACTCAAGTTTATCCTGTGTGATAGCACAGTAGTACTCCATTGTGTATAAATACCACATTTTCTTTATCTATTCATCTGTTAATGGACATATAGGTAGGCTGCTTCCAAGATTTAACTATAAAGAGTTGTGCTGCTATAAATATGCGTATGCATGTATCATTTTGGTATGATGTCTTAACTATTTTGGGAAAATACCTAGAAGGGGAATAGCTGGGTTGAATGGGATTTCTATTTTTAGTTTTTGAGGAGTCTCTATACTGCTTATCACAGTAGTTGTACTACGTAGTTTACATTTCCACCAGGTAAAAAAAGCTCTGAAGGACATGAAGCAAAGCCAGAGAAAGTAAGAAATTTTACAAGGGCACAAATTTTAGCTAATTGATAACTGTATCTGTGTTTCAGTTTGAGTTGATGTTTAATTGGTGTGCTTAAAGTATTTCTAGTACATTGCAAATTCTTCAATTGTAATTATAAAGTTAACTTGCTCTTTTCTGTACTTTGTTGATTAAAAAGAAAAACCTCAAGGTTACTACTGTTCTATTGGCAGCCTACCAAATTTAGTGTAACAATCTGAGAACGAAAAAAGGGACACTTTAAAGTTTTAACAGCTAAAGACTAATTTGTGATAAAAGGTCTATAGTAAGATAAAAAAATATATATTTAAAATCTATAAGTAAAAGAGATATAATTTTGATATAAAAAATTTTGTACGTTTGTCTTGTTAAAAATATAAAAAACATACAAGACCAGAAGGCCTAGGTATGTCAAATGATGCACAAAAGTGATTTATCAAAAAATATGTATGTTTGCTGGTTTCAAGTATGTTATAAAAAGTTTAAATATGTTTACATTAGTTGTCATCAAAGGGTTAAATTCTAAATATGTTACTATAATATGTGTACATTGGTCATCTTCAAAGGATTTAAGAGGCAACAGGTTACAATATGACCTTCTGCTTTGTAGTGAGTTAGAAAAAAAACTGTTGGAAAAGGCACAAATATGTCAGACCAAGGTGCGATATTTGAGATTTGACTTTAAAAAGGATAAAAAGAGGCTTGGTCCAGAGAAAAAAGTCATTTATTCTCTGCCAAGACCCCTCCAAAATGCTTCAATTATTTGATTCCATCTTTGCTATCCATTGTCCTAATTGGGAGGACTGTGAAAAACTTTGTAGAACTTTGTTAACCTCTAAAAAATACAGAGTTTTAGGAAAAATTAAAAAGTTAATGCCACTAGAATGCTGGGTGCTATGCAGAATCCAGATGCTTGATATGAACAGCAATTCCCAGTAAATATGTGGCCCAATTGGGATCCCAATACCCAAGCAGAACAGGAAAATTTGAGAAATTATTGGACAGCCTTTTTAGCAGGAATGCAGGCTGCAAGTAAAAGACCCACTAATATAATTAAAGTGTCAGAGACTCAGCACAAGCCAAACGAGAGCCCTGAGAAATTTTATGAGCAGCTTTGTGAGGTTTACAGAA